CTTCTCTCATTATCTTTCTCATATTTATGCATCCATATTAACTTTTTTTTAATCTCTCTTTTTTTCTTCTTCTTTGTTATTCTCTTTTTTTTCTTCTCTTTTTATTCTTTCTTCTATCATCATTGTTGTATCAATCATTACTATTCGAACACTACATCATTGTAGTATTAATAAATATTATAAACAACTTTTTACTACATTATTTATAAATATTTTTATTAATAATTAAAATTTTAAAATTTATTAGTCCTTCGATAATTTTAGTTTTACCAATAAATTTATTTTACCTGGTTAAATTTCATAAATAATTAAAAATATTCTGACACAAGCATATTTATTATGTTGGAATCATATATTTTCAACTAGTTGATTCATAATGCATCTTTAAGGTATAATGCTTGATATATTGTTTAATAAAACTTTTTTGTTTTATAAACAAACTTTCTTATAACTAGCTTATGTGATAGTTTTTTATATTTTAACAACCTTGCTTTTACAAAATACGATGCTTAACTCATTTAATGATACCTTATAGCTATTATATTTTGCTAAATTAATATTTACTTATAATAAATTTATTATTTTTAAGCTGCCAAGAGGTAAAATATAAATAAAAAATTATGAAAGTCTGAGTACTTATATGAGTAAAATTTTACAGTAACTTTTATTAATTATTGACTTTATATATAAGTAAAATGTGAGTAGTGGGTAAATATGAGTATATAGATATTTAAGTAACAGGTTGAAGTGACAACCACAGCACAGCACACCCACTTGCATCATTCCACACTCTCTCTTAACAACTAATTAGTAATTAATAATTGTAATTAGAATTTTGTGGTGGAGTTAGTAACTTTGGTGGCCGCGGTTCAAATTTCCAAGTAAACCCAATCAATCTAACATGGTCAACTTAAATTACATAAACCGTGGTTCATGTCCAGTCAACCTCCCGAAGACAAGATCCCTAAATTCATGCAAAACTGTTCTCAGCTAACCCCATCCACACATTCTATTCATCTAATATTTTTCTTTCTATTTTTCTCTGCAATTTTTTTACTACTTTTAAATCAATGAGAAAGTAAAGACTCACGGAAATCAAAACTTTTTCTTTTGGTTTGAACTTTCTCTCCAACACAAAAGTGTTTTTCCACCAAAGTTAAATAATTTTATTTTTAAATAAATTTATTTTTTATTTTAATTATAATAATAATAAAAAAATAATATAATAATAATAATTAAAATATTTTTGTAATCTATCAACTTTGTTACATCATTCATTAACTCACATAAACTTTCTTCTTAATTTTTTTAACCATAATTTTTTTTTAATTCAAACAACTCAGTATTCACGTCATTTTTCTCACAAATCAATTTTCTTCAATTCATCTTCAAATCCAAACACAATCTTAATCTTTGTCTTGTGATGTTAAAAAAGTTTAACTTTGAATAATTTATTTATATTTATATTCTTGGTAAAAATCTAAATGTGAAGACAGTTCTCCCTTTAAATCTAAAAAAGTTAAATATCTTATAAAAAACAAATTTATAAATTTATTATGTTTTGGTTTTAAATTAGAAGTTGTATCAATTTTTTTGTGATTGGACTTATATTTATAATTTTGTTCTCAGAAGATGTATCGATTTATCAACTTTGCGTGAAAAAAGAGAAAAAATAAATAAAACAAATTTGATATTTACATTTTAAAATTGTACAAATAAACAAATAAACAATGTAACACTAATATCATATGGGATTTATTTTTTCTCATTACCATTACATAATAGTAATATTAAATCCACGAATCTTATATTTGAGATAAATACTCGAATACCATAGTATATATATAGATATATAAAGTGAAATGTCGGCATGCATTTTCTTTGACTACGCATATGACAAATTCGGATTTAATTTTCAATTTAAGTTTTGTGATAAGATAGATATGTGTCTCTGACTAATTAGCCACTTTTTTTAGATATCATCCTTGTATTGTTTCAAGGTTTGACATTTGTGATTATAATAATGTGCCATCTTGTTTCATGGTGAAAAAAGTAAAATATATTGAGTTTAAATACTTGATGTAGTGAAATTTCAACAACGAATGTAGGCGTTGTGGTAGTTGTGTACAGAGCTGAGTATACTATACTAAAGTATAGTTAATTATATTTTTAATAAACTTGAAAAACTATAGTTGTGTATATAGATTCAAGATTTTTTAAGTAGTGTCGTGATTCGTGAACCACAAATATTTTGCCCTTCTATTAATTTTTTTATAACCCTTTTGAATTAACTCTTGCGTAATTTAAAAATACTTTTCACTTATTTTTTATTGACTCCTTATAAAATGTTGAGATGTTTTTAATAATATAACATTATTTTAAAAAATATTTTGTTTTCTTGATGGTATTCTCTACGTTACATAAAAAAAAGTTAATTTTTTAAGATAAGATATAAAATTATTTTCATTTTTTTAACAAATAATAAATGTGTTAGTGTTAACTTAAAATGCTTATAAATTTCGTTTAATATAATTGGTTAAGCCAATTCTAACACATGTAAAAAGATATTTAAAAAATAAAAACAACAGCGTAAAAGTATTTTAATATTTTTTAGTAAATAAATATTTGTGTTAGTGTTAGAATAGCATTTATTTAGATTACATTAATAAATTTTGTTTAATGTGGAACATTAATAGAGTTAGTTTTGTCAACTTTATCACGACACTAAATATTAATTTTTGTATTTATATTTATTTTAGTTATCATAGGCTCAGTCAACACTTATATATATATATATATATATATATATTATTGGATTCGTGAGTTTTTGTAACAATGAATAAGAGTCATACTTTTAATTTAAAGACCTGTATTTAAAGATAATAAATTTCGAGTCATAATTTTCTTTTCTCAATTTTTATATAAATTTTTTCATACCCATCTCATGTACCCACTCTAATCATCTTCACTTACACACATCTTTCATTCACAATTCTCTCTTAATTGTTTGCATTTCATTTTGTTAAAAATGAAGGTGTGTACAAGATTTTTTTTCAAGTATATCATTAGCATCGTACAAACCGACACATGATACTAAAAATTGATCATATTGTTGATACTAAATTAAATAAATTTTAAAATAAAAGGACATTAACGGCTACTTGACTGATGTTAAATTGTTTTGATTAAAAAATTAATTTAACAATTAATGGTAAATTAACATAAGTTAAGCATCAATGTTAAACCTACTGGGGTATAATTTGATTTTTACTTATTAGCACGGGTCAAAAAATGACACTAAATGTATACTTTTTTGGATGGTATTCTATGAGATGGAAATCTTTTACCGAAAACTATACCAATGTTGTTGTGAATATTAGAAAATTATCACCAAAAATAGTAGAAAGCATATATATTAAAATGATAAATCTTTGACAACATTATTTGTTATTATATTGGAATAACACTTGACCAGTTTAAGATTAAAAATGATGTATATAATATGTAAAATGTGGATGACTGACCGATATTTAATTTTAGACAAATGAACATTTTATGATATATTTTGAAGTAAGAAATTTAGGTGATAAAGACCATGATAAATGTTACTGCAGTAATTTTCGTTTTATAGTACTTTATAATGCATGATACCATCCAAAAAGTTCCTAATATATCTTAGGAGTATGAAATGGAATTAAGATAATTGAATTCAATGGATAAACATTTAACATAAGAATAAAAATGTAGTTATTAAAATTTAAGGGCAATTTTCATCACGTCTTCTAATTCATTCCCTTTGCAATTTTTTTAAAATAAGAACATTAGAAATTCATTTTGATAGTGTGGTGGATCGAGTTTAGGAGCATTTCATGTGGAGTTTCTCAAACGGTCACCGATTATGTTTGATTGAAGAATTATATTAGATGTAATTATTGATAAATCGTGCAGACAATAGTATATTTTGCTTTAACATATTTAGTATAATGTTGAGAATTTAAGTAAGGTTATACTGAGTAAAAATAAGAAAGGAAAATATCATATAAAGTTAAAGATTCATTAAACTTAAGGTTTTTAGCAGAGAAAATAGTATCAATCCAACTCAAATCTCGTAAGTATTATGTTTTTATAATGAACCTCTTTCTTATAAACTAACACATAATCATATTTTTATTAATAACACACAATCATATTTTTATTAAAGTCGCATCCACGACTATGATGTTGCATGAGTCCGTGCAGAGAAGGGGATTATTCCACCTTTGATTAATGTTTTCATGAGGTTTGTTGGTCCAAGGATTGAAGATGAGGCAAAGTTGTTGTTGTTAGATGGGCGGACAAATGAAATAACACCAGTGTTGTCCATGTCTAGTGACTTACAATTATGGTTTCATTCTTCTTTTATAAATCAGAAGGTCCTAACGTGGTTATCGCTCCATAAAACCCTTGTTAATTTTAATTAGAACGAAGTTGTTCCCAAATTCCAGCTCTAGAACTCACACAGCAAGCTTGGGATTGAATACTTGGGTAAGGGGTATCTATCTATCTATCTACCCAAATCTATTAGTTGAAGAATTATTTGTAATTAAAGTTGAGAACACTAATTTATCCAATAATGAATTTAGGATCGCGTAGCACGCACGCTCCGGGAAATGGAGTGACGATCACTTGCAACCTATTCTTCCCACGCCACCATCGTCCTTTCGAATAAGGAAGATTGAATTTGTCACCCAATAATTAGTATTAGGAAAATGTTATTTGGACAACAAAAGTTTGACACAATTTTGACAACGGCGACGTGGCAGCTGTGCATTGGCTCAGTGAACCGGGGTGAGGGGTATTTTGGGTTTTTTCTGGTTTGTTTTCAATTCACTGAGCCAATGCACAGCTGCCACGTCGCCGTTGTCAAAATTGTGTCAAACTTTTGTTCTCCAAATAACATTTTCCTTAGTATTATTTTACGTCCATTCCTTGAACTTTTTGTTGTCCAAACAAATGACTGCGTTTTAGGTCTCTGTCTCCTCTCTCTTCCTTCACTTGCTTCCTCTTCTTCTTCTTCTTCCTCTCTTCCTTTTCTTTCCCTGCACTCCATCCTCCCTTCACTCTCTTTCTCTTCTCTATTTATCAATTCTTCTACAAGCTACCTCTCCCTTCTTCCTTCTCATCGTCTTTGTCCTCTTTTTCGTTATCTTATTTCTTTACATAACACCTCTTTTCCTTAAAAAAACCATAAACAAAAGCAAGTGAAAAAGAACACACGCTCCTAGTATTACTATTTATTATTATCGACACCCCAAAATGGTAAACTACCATTTTTTATTTTTGTTTGTTTTCTTTCAACAAAAATTCAATACCTCTCTCTTCCTTTCATGTGTCTATGTCTATGGCTGGTTTGGATTTAGGCACGGCTTCGCGCTTCGTTCAAAGTCTCCAAAGACCAGACTTTAACCAACAACACCACCAGCACGAACCTCGGGAAGACGACAAACAGTCAGACCCTTTTTCGACCGAAGATGGGGCGCAACAAGCCAGCCCCGGCGACGTGGTCGGGCGGCGGCCGCGAGGGCGGCCGGCGGGATCGAAGAACAAGCCGAAGCCGCCGGTGATCATCACCAGGGAGAGCGCCAACACGCTCCGCGCGCACATCCTCGAGGTGGGCAGCGGCTGCGACGTGTTCGACAGCGTCGCCAGTTACGCGCGGCGGCGGCAACGCGGGATCTGTATTTTGAGCGGCAGCGGCACCGTGACGAATGTAACCCTGCGGCAGCCGGCGGCGTCGGGGGCGGTGGTGACTCTTCACGGGAGGTTCGAAATACTGTCGCTGACGGGATCGTTCCTTCCTCCGCCGGCGCCACCGGGAGCAACAAGTCTGAGCGTATACCTGGCCGGAGGACAGGGGCAGGTGGTGGGTGGGAGTGTGGTGGGAGAGTTGACCGCGGCGGGACCGGTGATCGTGATCGCAGCGTCGTTCACCAACGTGGCTTATGAACGGTTACCGTTAGAAGAAGAAGAGGAACAGGTTCAGATATCCGGTGGTGCCGGTGTGGGAAATAATAGTAATAATATTATTAACAATAACCCTTTTCCCGATCCTTCTTCGGGACTCCCTTTCTTCAGTTTGCCCATGAATGTTCAGTTCCCGGTGGATGGTTGGGCGGGAAACTCAGGTTCACGTTCACCATTTTGATCGCTCCAAAACGGAGTCGTTTTCAACCTTTGTTACTGTCTCTTACATCTTACTCTAATGTGAGATTAATTGATTTATCATTAGATGTTGCCAATCGATGAAGATGTGTTGTTCAATTCAGGTCAGCCATTTCATGTACTTCACACAAATTTATATATGCTGTGTTACAGTTGCTGTTCTTTTCCTGCTACGAAGGATGTGTGTTGTTGTAGTTGTTATATTTTTTTAGTGTAACAGGTTTTCCATTTTATCTCTGAGATCCTTCTCTTTTGTGGAGCCATGTATATGATATATGACTGATATATAATCTCTTGATTAGTTGTTCCGTTTTTTTCTTCTTTTAATTTGAGGGATTCAGATTTGAAACAACCATATGCACTTGCTAGCCTCCTGTTTCATACCATAACATTAATTGTATGTATTAGTTAGGATTTTATGAAAATTAGGGTCTAGTTATAACAGGATTTAATGATATATAAAAAGCTTAAATTTGAATTATCGTGGCTAGAAATCACAAATTCATATAACAATTATGCATGCAAACATATCCCCTGTCATTTTTGTGTATGACTATAATAGTCAAAATTGGTTTCCTTCAATTAATCTTATAAAGTAATTTCAATGTGACTTCCTTTGACTAACTTAGAGATTACAAGAACTTTCAATTATTAAACCTTAATGTTATTATATAGGTTTAGAGAAGATACATAATGAGCTTAAAAAAATATATTGATTTATTTTTATTTATACCCGAAGTTTGAGTTGCTTTTGGTTCCTTATTTCCTCTAAGGAATTAGTTGAACCTGCAAAATGTATCAACCTTAATTTCGTATCCAGATTATAGTATGGAAGATGTGATAACTAATAAACTAGTTGTGGTAAAACATGAATTTGAATTCTTTGTAAAGATTTTAGTATTATGATATGTTAAGTCTTTAAAATACAGTTATATAAACTAATTTTAATATTTTGAAATATATTAAAAATTATTTTAATATATTAATAAATATCAATGTATTTTAAAGACTCAACATAGAATAAATAACACTTAAAAACTCAAATAATCTGGGATTCGTAAAACATTTCACTCTCTAACTTAAAAACTTGGGCAATCAATCTTATGGTGATGAAATCAAATTCTAGTAAAAAAGCTCCATAAACACACTGGTGTGAGGGATGGTGATTACAACATATTAATTTTGGTTAATTCATATTTGATTAAAGATAATCTTAAATGGTTAGGAAGGGGTAGGCATATGCTATAGTTATGAAGATATTGCCATTGATTGCATTATAAGCCCTTTTTTCCCGGCCGGAATCACTCTGATCTTACCATATATGACCTTTATTTATTGAGTAGCTTGAAGGGGTTAATTAGAAGTCGGACCTAATTAAGTATATATTTATCCATAGATCTGCAAATCATTAATGTTGGTTGGATAAGGTGGCTAGGTTTTCGGCGCTGAAGACATAAATAATTCAAAGTATGTGTTGTGTGAATTATTTCCATGGGGATGGTCTCCCTTGAAATCACTGGATACCATGTGGAAAAATTCGTTAGACCCAATTTGGAATTAAAGAAATTCAAGTGTTCAATGAAGAAATTTGTCTTCCACGTTGATATTATTTATCAAACAACTTTGATTAAAAAACTATATATTTTTAAAAACTCTTAATATAGTCTTAGCCTGTAAATTTTCCATATCAGATTTTGCCATGTTTTGCATCATGCGTGGATAGATTACGAGATATCACTAATTTTCTTTAATTTCAAAACTCACATCATAAAATCTATATATCAAATATCACAAGTCCAACGTAACCTTTTGCATTTTCTTGTTACCTAATGTTATAAGAATCACACAATTTGAAATTTTAGAACAGTCTAAACAGTAATAAATTAAAAATACAAAATTAATATAAACATATATCCATTGTGATTGATATTTTCAAAAATAACCACAATTTAATTTTAATAATGCATTAGAAATATAATCATCTACCTTAATAACACACTTAGATCCATAAAACTCTACGATAATTTGAAAAGAAAAAAAAGAAACATTCACCACAATGAAATACTCACAACCATGGACATAAACCATAAAATAACTTCCAAAGCATCCTCACCCATACAACAATCATTATTCTCATTATGTCCCCTTTCACTTCAAAGAAAGAAACGAGAAGAGAAAAGGACAGAATTATGAGAAGGAAAAAAAAGTCTAAAATCCTAATTCAAAAACAGTTTTGCATATATATAATTCATAGTAAATAAGTTTTAATTATTTATAAAAATATCACCATGTAACTTTTTTTTCGCTGTTTTTCACTAATTCTACTATACTAATTTTGGAAAAATTATGACTCTTGAAATATTCCAATTTTGGTCGTTTATTTAGTGTTCAATTTTTACTGCGGAATTCAACTCCATTCAGTTGCGGCCACTTCCAATTAGGTTCTGAAAAACATAAGCAATTTGCAATGCAGACATTTGACTGTACCTCCATCTTGAATTTAAGCAAAGTCATTGACTTTAAGCATCCAATTAAGCTAGCCTACGATCTGGAATTCTTAAAAGTCAAACTTTTCTTATTTTTCAGAGCGTGTTATATTATTTATCCAGAAATAAAAATCATACATAATAACTTAGAATTTTTCAATCTATATACAAATATTATCTATACGTATAAAAGAAAATACATTTCAAATTACATAGCCCTTGCAATTATGAATTAAATCCATGTCAGAAACCTAACATATTATTTCTGGTCTAAAGTATATGTGTTCCCCATCTTTTTTATTCCTGGTTAAAGTGTGACTCCATCTTTAATTTTTCAGAGTGTGAGATCAATCACATTGATGGATATATATATTAAGATTTTAAAGTTATTTCAGTGGCGGCTATTCGGACTTGTATTTTTCTTTTAAATAAATTATATGAGAAAGTTATATTAAATAGCATAAGTATCCAGAAATAATCGAACAAAAACTATAATGGCCTTATCTTGAGAGAACATGTTCCTATTTTATGAAAATCTTAATTATAATACTATGATAAAGCTTAACGACGAATCCAAGAATACACATAAGAGGTATACGACACCTGAAGGGTAGTTGGGAAGAAAGATTCCTGTTTCCTGTCAATTAACATAAACAAATTGGTGCAAGTGTGGTTAATTATTAACTAATAAAATATATAATAAGGTTTAGATGAAGGAATCAGGTTGACTGAGTCGTAATACAATATAATATTTCATCCAAATGTTCATACCCATTTGTTTCTAAGCTGTCAACTTCTTTTATATATTTCCATAAAATAATACTTTATAGCAGTTGAATTTTATATTATTTATGTGTTTGAAATTTATTTATATATATAGTAACTAAACATAGCCACGTTTTTAGTATTGTTGATATAAAAATGGTGTTGTGGCATAGTGGCCAAAATGATAATGATGTCAAAGTACTGCTAAGTAGCTTTGAGAGTCTTTTATTCAAACGTCAAATTAAAAAGGCTTTGAGTCTAATGTTAAATTTTAAGGTATGATGAACATTTGTAGCAACAAGAGCTTGAAACTTCAATTTATGTTATAATGTTTTGGTAATGATGTTGAGTTTATTTACTTGTTTATAATATCCACAAAAACATTGTTGTAATAAGTAGATACTAAATAATAATATAATAACCCAAAGTTTTAGGAAGATCGATTGTAAAAAAAAAAAAAAGTTATTTTACAAAAATTCTGTGGTTCTTGATACTGCTGATTTGTTTATGTGATTCGTTAATAAATAGTTTATTAGGACCTAAGATTTCATACTTTATCTTTGAACCTACTAGATAGATAGATAGTTCTTTTAACTGTTATTATTAATTACAGGAGTAGATTCATACATTATAATAGTATTGTTTGAATTTTTTATTTTATACTATTTGACAACGTATAAAATTTGATAGAATTCGTATACATATTGGGATATTTATATAAAAATGTATAACTTATTAAAATTTCTTAAAAAAAGAGAGTATTGGGTTAATTTTAATAAAAAACTATTATGATATATAAACACATTTTTCTTGAAGACGTACACTCGACGATTATTATCAATGTTACAAGATTGTATTCATAAAAAATTACGTATAAATAATAAATTGATTATACAAATATGAAAATTATGTAAGCATATTTGGTTGTAACTAGTATCTTGAATCTTAAGTCACAGCATATATGGAAAATATTGTAGAAGATACTTTTGAACGAGCATTGGTTAGAAATAAAATTATAAAAATAAATTATTATATGTCCCATTAAAACAGAAGAAATATTTAGCCAACCAATAAAACAATTTCAGTATGGTGTCTTACAAGTCCTGAAGTAAAAAATAACTTCCAAATTATATTGAAAGTCAAAAATAACTTCCAAATTATACTAAAAAATAACTTTCTAATTATGTGATCTGAAAACCAAAATTAAATTTTGGATTGTAGATCCGAAAGTCAAAAAAATAACATCTAGATTGTATAATCTAAAAATCTAAAAGGCAAATGGAAAAATAATTATAAGAATGCAAAAAAGAAAGTTATGCAGGTGCAGGAAGCAACTCCCCAACCCCAAGAGTATAGTGACCCAAATCCATATTTCGATGGACCAATAGCGAAGCCCTTTTTCTATTTCATATGGGCCATATCAAATTCACTGTATATTATTCAAAAGGGAGAGTTGCTCCCTCCACCACCACCAACTGCTCCCTGCACCTCCTCATACCTTATTTGCCCTTCTATAAAACGGATGTCAACATCCGTTTCACCTTCAACGGATGTTGACATCCGTAACATCCATTTACATATTTTATATTTTAGTTTATTATTTTTATTTAAAAAAAAAAACCTTCAACGGATGTGGCCCCATCCGTTAACGGATGTCCACATCCGTTTAATAGATTTTTAAAAAGTTTTTTATTTATTATTTAAATAATAATATATAAATTAAAATAATTATTATTATTTTATTAAATAAAATAAAATTAATTTATAAATAATTAAAAATAATTTTTAAAAAATTAAATAATATTTATATATTAATTTAAAATATAAAAAATTAAAAAACTAAAAACTAAAAAACAAAAAAGGAAACAGATGTCGTCACATCCGTTTTAATATATTTATAAGAAATTTTTTAATTATTATTTAAATAATAATACATAAATTAAAAGTAATAATAATTATTTTATTAAATAAAATAAAATTAATTTATAAAAAATTAAGTAATAATTTTAAAATAATTAAATTATATTTATATATTAATTTAAAACAAAAA